CCCTACTCCTCCTCCTCTCCCTCCCCAGCAATGGGAATTTCAACCACCGGCCCCCGATAAATCTTCCTCCCCCGCACAACATACCACCCCAACCCCAACACAAACTCCCCCACAAACACCACAGCCGACCAATTCATATTCGTCGCCGTCACGGGCAAATCCGTCGGAAAAAACGAAAAAAAGATGGTAATAGTCAAGAACCCAATCGACCCGATATTTATGACGATGCCGAGTAAACGGCCCATTTTCCACGGTCCGTAGGGGATGGGGTCGTTTTTGATTTTCTTCATCAGGATCAGGATGATGGCGATTTCGTAGGAGGAGAAGAGGCCTGCGGTTGTGAGGGAGATCATGGCGTTGAAGGCGGCGCTGGAGCCGACGTTGATTATGCAGGTGCAGGCGGTTATGACGGCGCAGAGGGCGATGGCGCGGAGGGGGAGCGCGGAGCCGGAGGTTGCGGTGCTGATCTGGGGTTTGTTAGTTTGGGGTTTAGGGTTGGATGGGGGGGGGGGGAGAAGGGGAGGGAGGGGTACGTGGGAGAGAAAGTCGGCAAAGGGAATGCCTTTGTCTTTGGCTAGGGCCCAGGTTAGACGGGACGAGGAGGCCAGGAAGCCGAAGGAGGCGCAGATGGTCAGGGCGATTACGATGGCGGTCATGACGGACGTTCCGGCGTGGGATTTGGTCGCGTTGAAGAAGACTTCGATGAAGTCGTAGCCGGTTGCACTGCCGAGGGCGGCGTCGAGATCGCCCACGCAGAAGAGGAAGGCCAGTACCATGGCGAAACCGAGACAGCCGTTGAGCATGATGGTCGCGAGCATGCACCAGGGGACGATGACGGAGGCGTTGACGACTTCTTCGGCTGTGGGGGGGGTTAGTTTGTATGATTAGAGGGTTGGATGGTATGTGCTTACCCATGTGGCAGGGGCCATCGTAACCTGGTGGTTTGTTAGTTGGGAGTTCACTTTAGTGGGGTGGTTTCATACCAATGAACGGAAGATTAGTGCCCATCAGTCCAATCAGCCAGGTGAGACCGGAGCTTTTCCATCCCGAGGTATTGGTGAAGGTGGCAAACACGAACTCGGCGTTCTTGTGAGGGGCGAGGTAAACGAGAGGAATCAGAATGGCCAGGAATCCGGCCGTGTGGAGGATCAGAATCAGTCCTTCAAGTTTGGGCAGAATCCTGGCCCCAAAGGAGTTAACTAGCACGCAAATCACCAGCGCAGCAAACATCAGTAGGGTTCCGTGCCAGCGGTGGTAATCGTAGCCCTCATAGTTCAGCACCAGCAAACCCTGCAGCACGGTCGAGGCAAAGTAGACACCCGATGCTGTGTTGGCCCACCATCCGATCAGGTCCAGCCATCCGGTTACCCAGCTGAGGAACACGGCATGGCCTTTAGGGGCGAGCATAGACACCCAGTGGTATTGGCCGGCGGATGTGGGAGCCCTATGCTCGGTCAGTGTTGCTACTGTTGAAATGGTAGTGGGTCTCGTACATTGACGCCATCTCGGCCAGCGAGGCTGCAGTCAGAAGAGCACCAATCCAGCAAAAGATGAATCCATAGACAAGGGTTGCCTGGCCTCCATCTGCCATTGCGGCGGGGTTGGCACTGCATGAAGGTTAATTCCGTCAAATCCAATTTTGAGATAATGGCGCTGACGCACGTAAGAACCGCCTCCCAGGTGGCCATCATGGTCGTCGTGAAGCCCAGCATGGACAAGAAACCAAAGTTTCTCTACTCTCATTAGTCGCAAAACGTTAAGCTCTGCATAAAACTCACCTCGAATGTCTGCTTCCGGCCATACTTGGCCATGTCCGCATCATCGCGGTCCTTGTAGCCCCCGGAGCCCAGCTCCTGGACCGCCAACTCTCCATTTTTGAACGGCATTTTGACGATGTTGCGACAGCAGAGGACAACAAGCTTCGCAGAAAAATTGCAGTCGTGAGAGAGAAAGAAAATTGAAGCACGGTGAGGGGAAGGACTGTATTCAAGGCTCGGGGACAGGAACTAGCAGTAGCTGCAGGTTGGCTGTTGATTCTCGGGCCTATTCCCAAACACGGAGACACGGGGATGCCCCTTTCAGGAAGGTCCTTTATTGGTTCACTAGGATCCGACAGTCCGGCTGGCGTATGGAGTATACCATAGTGCCCCTGAATCAGGCCTGTCTGTGGACAAGTTGGGGCAGGAAATTAACCGTTGGCGGTCCGTCAGCCGGACTGACCTGCACCACAGCTTCAATGCGTCTGGAAGCGCTTCCGACAGTGCTATCTGCAGCACTATGCACGCTACTGCAGTCCCTTCCTAGGCTCATTCGGTTACATTAGGTCAAACAGGGATGGGTGAAGGTTATGACCCTTGATATCGGTATGATCCGGCTGCATGCTACTTGCCAGGGCAGAGAATTAGGTTCAAGTCTGCTGCTGAGATCCATGGCTCTTTCTTTGATGTTGACTCTGACTTTAATGCGAGGGCCTCGGAATAGTCACATCCTGTCAGCACTAAGGAATAGCCCACTGGACTAAGGCTTAGGGTGGTCGGTCTGGCCAACTCCATCGCGTCACTCTAGCACCATGCTAGCGTCAGATCCCTGTCTGGCTGCGAGACGGCGCATCCCCGGAGAATTAGGATGCAGCGTGGACTAGGCGAGGCCCGCTTAGCGGAGCAGTTATCTGCCAGCAATATCAGGCCCTGCACGTATTTAGGCCCATTGCCCATGCGTCGGGAAACAATCTCACACGACAATCAAGCCACTCCACTTGCCCCTCAGCCTTTCTGTTTAACACTCTATTCCTAGCTTGAAACGGTCGCCTTCCCTGGTCCTTTGCGTTGAAATCGTAGTGGGTCATCATGGAATCCATCATCGATTGGTCACAGCGGCCAACCTACTCGCCAGAGCAACTGGTCCGCTACTTTGATCGCATCGGCCTTCCTCAGAAGTATCGGGAATCTCCGGTCGTCCAGGCAGGGGCGATGATTGGTGGCGATACGGCCCTCGAGTTTCTCAAGGTTCTGCAACGGTACCAGGTGGCCGCTGTTCCATTCGAAAATCTCAATCTTCATTACTCGGTTCACCGGAGCATCTCCATTGACCCTCAGAGCCTCTTTGAGAAGATTGTGGACTCTAGTTCCGAACGAGGAGGCTACTGCATGGAGAACAGCGGTCTGTTTGGGACGGTGTTGCGGAGCCTGGGGTACGAGGTGACTGCGGTTGGCGGACGGGTCAATGAAGCAGTCCAGCCCATCTCCGCTTCGAAAAACTGGAAAGGGCCCAAGTTTGATGGATGGTACGATTCCCTAATGAAGATCCTTCCGTTTGTCTGGCTGGCCGGTCGCATGGATATATGCTGTTAATCTAGCTGCTGGCACTGGCTGACTAGCGCATGACAGGAACCACATGGTGAATCTCGTCACCATCGGCGAGCAAAAGTACCTCATCGATGTGGGATTTGGCTCCAACGGGCCACACCAGCCCGTTCCACTGGTCCCGGGCTACGAGTTCCATAATGTTGGCGAGCAGTGTGGCCGGCTCGTCTACGGGTCCATCGCTCAACACACCAGCTCAGGTCAATCTCTCTGGCAGTATGAGATCCGGAATTGGGGCGGGGCCTGGACACCGGCCTACTGCTTCACCGAGACTGAGTTTCTTCCCGAGGATTTCACCATGATTAACTACTACATGAGCACCAGCCGGGAGAGTTGGTTTACCTTCCACGTTGTCTGCGTGCGGATGTTGCTGGACGAGGAAGGAGAGACTATCGTGGGGGACCTCACCCTCTTCAATGATACGCTGAAACGGCGTCTGGGAGCAACCTCCGAGGTTCTCGAAAAATTCACCTCCGAGGAGGACCGAGTCGTGGCGTTGGAGAAGCTTTTTAAGATCCGCTTGTCAGAAGGGGATACGGACAGAATTCGCCATACGATCGCGGAGATCCTCTAGAGTGGACTCCGTGGCTGGACGGGGAAAGGGGAGGGGATTCCGGACGGAGACCGGCGGCAGGGATCGCGACGCACTAATAAGGCGTTATTGACATGTGAATCAAATCCGAGCATGCTGCTGCGTTGATTGGCTGCGGAAATCCTTCGATAACGGGGTTTAATAAGCGCGTTCCAGCCGTTCATTTCAAGGGCCGGTCCGGCTGGAGACGAGGCTGGCCCCGCTGCGTCAGGGGCCAGTGAAATGTAACTCTCTAGGCTTGGCCGGGCCCAGGCGGGCGCTTTGCATCGGCCGTGACGTGGCGCGGGATGAACCCTGTGCACTACGGATTCTTAGCAGTCTTAGCGGTCTTAGCGGTCTTAGCTTGCTTGGCGTGTTAGCTTGGCTTTGGCTTCCCCTCCATTTCAATTAAATGACTCGCTTTCAGTCCGCGAGATTGTCGGCGTTGAGCCATCACTTGGCACGCATAACTGGACGGGGATAACTTATCCATAATTTCCATGCTTTACCTGGCAAGCCACAGGAGGTCAAGGTCCTCTGCAACATCCCGAGCAGGACGCTTTCTCTGAAAGCCGTTCAGGCTTAAGGAATCAAGATGTTTGGACCACTGATTCCATCCTTCAATTTCTCACCGAGCATCTAGATTGACCCACGCAGAGGGTTTATAGGGGTTGACTCTATGCTGCGCCGCCTGCCCACTTGGCCCACGCCGGGCTATATTCCTCTCCTACATGATCGCATCATTCGCGGCCGGGATGTCGCTAAGATGACCAGGTCTGACAGTATGCGCATTGCCAGAAGATGTGCACACTGCACAAGACAGCATCAAGCCCAATGGCGATCCTAATGGTATCCAGCGCAGCATGAACCTCCAGGGGTTGCTTCGAGAGATCCTTCAATCGATCGGTCTATCGAACATTGCTCCTGCAGGATTGGCATAAGCATCCTCCTGGGTTGCCTCATCGGAAATGCCTCTCCGGTCTGGTCAGCACTCCATCTGGGCAGCTAGTAGCATGCTTCACTACGTCAATCCTCCACGATCGTTCAGGAAGGCTTGAAATGTTAGTCTTCTGCCACCTAATTGCAGCCTTCCCATCCCCGATGCGATGGGCAACTCACCGAGATTTCCCCGGCTCTCGTTGTAGCTGTCCACAGACATTGTCTATCCCAAATTAACTTTAATGTCTCACCCGCGCGAGGCTAGCAGGGGTCATGATCTATGTCGTTGAGAAGGCAACCCCTGGAATTCCCGCGGCTCATCACGAAGCATGCGACAATCCTTGACAAATCGCTTAGTGACCGTCAATATTATACGATCATGGTAGTACCCTCCTCCCCTAAACGGCCATGTGCTGTTGCCCGGCAGTGAGACAACCAGCAGATGTCGAAAACGCTGGTCTGCAAAGAGTCATTGTCTAGGCCAACGTATGTACTGTCCAGGGTTATCCATCCTATCTACCAGTATAAAACGCCGTCCTATATTCTCAGCCACTATTGATGCCCCAACCCCTAGGTCCCGCCTGTTCGTGAGTTGCCACTACAACTCTCATCATGGACCTGCCTCTACGGCTTGCAAATCTCTTTCGCACCCTTCATACACGAACGATCGACATACGTGCGAGCTATCCGGCCTCGCAGCCACCACCAGACCATGTCGACGAGATTGCCATTGCGACCCTGTACTTGATGGTGATGATGATCCTGGCCGTGGTGATACGTCTCGCCTTTCGCCTATACATGCTCCGCTCGCTGCAATGGGATGATGGAATTGTTTCTCTTTCCCTGGTAAGCCCTGGCGTCCCTTGGTGTCTTGTTTCGGTTGATACATTAACACGACTTATCAAGATGACAGGTCTTTGCGGTTGCGCAATGTATATCCATCCTTGTGGGGACTAGACACGGTCTGGGGAAGCGAGAGTCGGCCTTGAGCGACAAACAAGTGCATATACTCGAAAAGGTTGGTTGATGTCAATTGGGCATCTGCATGTCGCTGATATTGGTATCTATAGGCCCTTTATGCGGCAGATCTGTTCTACGTTCTGGCTCTGAGCCTCGCGAAAGTCTCGGTCCTGCACCTCCTGAACAAGCTCACTGTCAACAAGGTCCACAAGCAAATAACCTGCTGGACATCAATGTTTGTGGGCATCTGGACGGTACCTGTGTTTTTCGCTTTGGTATTTAAATGTGGAGCACCGAATCCATGGGATACCAGTCAAGGCCATTGCATTCATATCGTGAGTCTCTATCACCCTCAATGCCAGTCAACCATTCAATCCCATCGCAACTGACAGGTGTCTAGTTCATCTTCTGGGCCGCCATCGCCCCCATCGACATCATCACCGACCTCTTAATCTGCATCCTCCCAATTTACATCGTGAAGCCCGTCCAAGTCGTCATCGGCAAAAAGGCCACCGTCGTCTTCGCCTTCTCCATCCGCATCTTGTACGTCTTTCCCCATCCCTACGAACCCCCTTCCCACACAGAAACCTAACTCACTTCCCCAGCGTCATAATCACTATGATCATCCGGCTCATCTTCCTCCGTCATGCCCCTCCCTCCCCCGACGTCTCCGACGCCGCCTTCGCCACCATTATCACCACCGAATGCGTCCTCTGCGTCAGTCTCATGACCGCCTGCATTCCCTGTCTCAAACCCTTCCTCGATGCGTTCGACAGCGGCATGCTCAACATCTCTCTCCATAAGCGTATCGGCGGCGGTAGTAACAGTAACTCGTATGGCAACTCCTATGCCTTGACGAGTATGTCCAAGGGGGTCAAAGAGTCGGCCACCCATTCCCGGTTCATGGAGGATGAAGTCGAGGGGTTGGGAACCTCGGCGGCTGCGTTTGCGGTTACGCCGCCGGGGGTGCCGTTTACTGGGAGGAATTCGGGCCTGGCAATTCAGAGGACGGATCAGTGGAGTGTGAGATGTGAGTATGTGGATCCGAAGGCGGGGTCGATTGATGAGACTGAGGGGGAGGAGAGCAGTGTGGGGAGGGGGGAAGAATTCGTTGGGAAAGTTTCTGTGATGTAGATAATGATTATTTCTTTTGTCACTGGTACGGTGCAGGATATGTAGCCTGACGTAAACTCTAAGTTATGAGTCTGCTAATCGCTAAGGACTCATCTCGACTGGGATTAGCACATGGCTGCAATACCAGGCTCACTATGAAAAACCTCCCATTCACGCATCTATAGCTTTGGTATATTTTAAGTCCCGTGCATAGCCCCTCATCAATCACAATACGTCAAGTTTATTTGCATGTGCCCCTATCAAATTCCTCCGAACCTACCTCCTCTCACTACACAGAAACATCCCCATATACGAGCAAATACTTCTAGGTCACCTAATGAACCACACTATTCCCAAAACTCACCCACCCCGTCCTTTCCCAAGAACGAGTAATCAACTCCTCTGCCCTCCTCGCTGGAACGCCCCGTAAATCCCCCTTCTCATCACCAATTGATTGATAAAATACCTCGAGCACATCACCCCACTTAAACAACCTCAAACGCAAATGTCCGCTCTGAGCTCACCGTGCGATTGAGCAGTCCTGTGATGTATTGGGCTGTATTCTCGACGTTGACGAACCATTTCATCATTTCCTTCGCTTAGCAGTCCATTTGCACTGTCACTTAGAGGGGAGCGGGAAGCTAACGGAGTGGAATCACCTTTAGGGTGAAACCATTTATTCCCAGCGCGCAGTGCATGGATAAATTTAATTGTAGAGCCGGTGATATCTATCTATGTAGAGGCTTATCTGAACCTCATGTCAAGAAACATATTAGTAATTGTGAGGTGAGGGATAATCAAGGTATATGGCTTGTTGGCTTCCGTTTGTTTCTCAAAGCGCCGTATTGAATATATATCCTGGATCATTCTCCCGGGTCCATTTCCAAGCCTGACGTTCACTTTCGGTCTTTGATGCCGCGGAGATAGGGAAGGGTTTTTGAAACGTGGTGATGACGCGGTCCTGCGAGATGGTGCAGGAGAGGTCACCCCATGTTTCTCTAGAGGGTATATTAGGTTTAACTGATATTGCGTTGTTGAGTGGTTGGGCATCCAACTATAATCTACAGTGATCCCGGGTTGATTTGGAGTGGGGGGGAGTCCAGCAGCGGTGGATGACGAGGTTGGAGCAACCCGAGATGTCTGTAGCTGTGATTAAGTTTCTGTCTAAGCTCAATGAAGCATCTAATGCCTAGGACTGTTAGTATGTGTCTGGTTTGGTTCAGTCATGAGGGGTGGGGTGCTGACTGACTACATGGATGACACCGGACGCGTCGCGCATGATTTTATGTAGGGTAATATCGTCGTTCAGATTGGATAAACACACGTTTAAAACATGAAGCAGCTTATCTATAGCGGAAGATCTCATCTAGCCATGGCAGTGGGCTTCGGACTGTCCGTGGACATTGGTGGCGAGTTCGAGTAGCAGGTCCATGGTGTGATGCTATGTAGCCGTTGGTTCCGGTGACTAGGATTTGGGATCTGATTGGGAGAGAAAGGTTCTCAGGCATTGGCAAATCGTCATAACGTAGTGTATAGTACAAGCCTGAATGGTATCTGTATGAGGTAAGATATAATTGGGGATGCTCGGGTTTGATGTCATCCACGAAAGCATCTCCAATTGTGATTATTTAATCAACCCTTCATTGCCATAATGTTATCTAAGCCAATGGCTCATGAAAGTTAGATTGGGATATATACACAGAACTGATCACCGCGCAGCCTCGATTTTTGTTGTGGTGCAAGAGGATCGACTTTGATTTAGCCATAGGGTCCGCTAATATATATTTCGCATGCATCCAACAGACCCCGCGCACTAGGCGAGGATCAATGTCCTGACATTGAAAACCAGTGGAACTCAAATATTCTGATTCAATAATAAAAAGGTTAGTTACCATCTTCAATCCTGTTCTAGGAAAGGAAAAGCAAAAAATCAAAACAAAAAACGACGACAGTCGGATTTGAACCGACGCCTCCGAAGAGAATAGATTTCTAGTCTATCGCCTTAGACCGCTCGGCCATATCGTCTTATTATAGGTTAATGCTAAATCTTTTTAGTTGATAAGGCAAAAGCAAAAGGAAAATGTTTGGATGTCCACTCCGTACTATGCGCGCCACCTCCTTTTCAACGATCAGTTTTACTGGGAGTCATGGCTGAATTTACCCCTGCTGGGTACTTCAATAAACTAAGAGTAGCATTGACCTACTATCTTTCGATCAACTTCATAAATGTATCGGCAATGTTCGTTGGTATCTCGTAGGATTTTCCAGACAACGGAATATACTGGCCATATAAACACATTTATAGATTTGAGACATATGCGCTGAAGTGAACATGATGCTTTTATGAAGCAATACAAAAAAAAAAAAAACTAGTAAAGCCCCCCCAAGCCTTAATAAATGCTCTACAATGCATCGGACTGACAAGGAATATACTCCATATGAAAGGGCTGCTCCGCCGCCTGGCCCTGACTAACCATCTACTCCATCTGCTCAACAGACACCGATAGTCACCATCACAGATGCATAGATGGTGCCCCTACCATATAAAATATAACAGAAGCCAAAGAATACTAGTATTCCCTACCGAACAATATCAAGAAAACAACTACACGCCCCTTCCGCTCAAAATCCTCGCTTCCTGCCCGCGCCAAGCCCCCATCCAGCCAAGCCCACTGACACAAATTCTGCCATACACTCTGCATTCTACCCTCAACGCAAGTCAGGCACCACACTTCTAGACCTCAATACCCAACCTTCGATACCTTGCAATCTTAGATAGACTAATCAACCCCGCCACCAACAGAATTGTTCACAGTACACAACCTCACAGGTCCTATCCTGACCTCATAATTAAAAAGCCCAGACTAAGACAAAAACAGTACCACCTTGCGAACCCCACATTCCCACTGTCCCAGATCAATCCAATTCCTTTAAGGCTGGTCGCTGCACCGCTGCACTCTGCAGATGCGGGTCGGCCCAGAGATTTCCCACTAATATTAAAGTTTGCCATTCAACAGTTTAGTTGCGATTTAGGTACCATCTTGCGAAGATCCACTATCTACCGTGGCTTGGCTTGGCTGGCTTGGCCCGGGGTCCCGCTGCCAAGGCTAGGGCTGAGCTTGGTGTTGCCGCGGCTGGGATCGGTAGTTTGGGCCGAGGGTCGATACTTACTACGTACCAAGTAGAAGAGGAGGGGTTGGGCGTTGTTCGGGCGGGGGATTTTGGGTTGGTGTCGTTAGTAATGGGGTGAGTTGTGGGATTCCCGGTCATGTCTTTTGGTTTCTGGGTTGGAGTGTAGGGGTGGGAGTGTAGGTAGTCCTACATTTGGCCTTAACATTCATGAGAAGGTATGTGGGACGTAGTGCTCCGTAGCTGAATTCAAATTTTCGATTCTGGCCCTGTGGAGTAGGTATGATTGACGTCGTGAATGAGCACTCCGTACCTATACAAGAGACGATACAGTGATGTACACACGGTGCACAAGTGTAACTCATAGCAGAATAACTTTTCATTACGCAGAACCCTGCCAACAATTACTAACATCATATATACTCATATACCGACATAACCATCCCCCCAACTAACCTCCCCGCATCATGCAACCCACTACCATCCAAACGCCTCCTCAAAGTACTCAATATCCCGGAACCCACCCTTCATAACATCATACATCGCAGTCCGACACTCATCCGCCATCTTGGCCGGTCCACAAGTCATCACTGCCAAACGAGCCGAGCTGGCTTGTGCTTCCTGCGCGGCAGCCCGCACGAGGGAGTTGATAGCCGGACGGCCATAGCGTAGATCGACGTTCAGGTCCTCGACGGAGCGAATCGATCCACTGGCTTTGTCTTGGAGGGCGGCGGCGTCGACGGCCGCTTCCTTCTCCTTTGTGGGCGTGGTCGAGCCGGAGGTAATCATGCCCCCGGCGGCGGATTTGTCCGTGCAGAAGAGCGTCGTGGTGATGTCGGTGTGTTCTAGAGCAGTGGACAGATCCTGGCAGCAGACTTCGTCGAAGATCTTCTTCTGACGACCTGTCCAGATGAGATGGATGCGGGTGGTGTTGGTTTTACCCGCTGAGACTCGGGCGATGTGGTCCAGGATGTAGGGCACGGCGCAGGCGATACCCGTTCCGCCCATGATGAAGAGGACGTTGTCGAAGGTGTGGAGGGGGGCTTGGTGGCCGTAGGGTCCCTCCAGGAGGAGCTTGGTGCGGATTTCTCCACCCGCCTTCTGGCATTGGTTGCGGAGACGCTTGGTCCAGCCGTCGTAGGGCCGGATGTAGAAGATCAGCTTGGTCTCGTATTCCTTCGAGTCGGGGTTCTCGTAGCAGCCCAGGGTGAAGGGGTGGTTTTCCCAGCCTCGGAGGGTGTAGGGCTGGTAGAGGTAGTAGTGCTGACCCGGGGCAGGCTTCAGGGACTGCGCGGCAGGGTACATCTCGACTCGGACGAGATCACTCTCTGAGCTGTAGGTCACGGTAGAGAGGGGCGTGCTGAGGAATCCCTTGCCGAATCGGACGTGCATGTTGCAGTAGACCATCCGGACGTAGCGAAGGCCGCGGTCGAAGAGCCAGATGGCGACCAGGGGCCAGAGATACGGAGTGTAGGTCTTTCCGTCGAAGCTGGTGTGCCTGTATACTGTTAGCTTTGATGCCAATGCCAGGTGAGGTAGTATAGACGTACATGAACAAGGCAAAGATGGTCAAGATGGAAAAGAGGAAGTGGATGATGATGAAGATCTCGTAAGATTTCTGACGAAGGTAGGTTGCGGATTGGACCAGCATGAAAACCATGATGATTGTGGCCTGAGACCCGTTAGCATATCGCGTTGACGCATATCTGGTTCGGACATACCACGACACCCATGTACCAATACTCCTGCTTCCATACGCTGAAGTATCTGCCATCTTTATGTCGTTAGCATAACCCACAAGACGCCAAGATATAAGTACTTACCGTAGATTGCAAACACTACCGAGTAGTTAATCGAGTGCACCACTGCAAGCAGTGTGCAGACCCACGCCGTATGGCGGTGGAAGATGTTGAAGGACTGCACACTAAAATCGGTGGCCCAGAGGAAAATGTTGTTCCGTCCAGAAAACAGCCACAAGAACGGCAGGCAAGCATATGACAGAATACCAGTCCGATCAGAGGAATATTGCCAATTTTGCTGATGGAGACTCGGCGTCCTAGGATCCGAGTTAGTTAGGTAGCGCGAATGATATGTTGGTATTCACATACTGGATGTTACCCGTGAAACTCTCATAGTCCACACATGACAGAATGATGGCCACGGCCCAGAAGCCAAAGACAATTAAAGTATCCAGTCGCTTTGGAATCGTATGATAAAGGAACAGCTGCTGGTGGTTCGATAGGAATGGAGCAAAGCTGGCAGGGATAATAATGTAGGTGCGCACAAAATGTGCCGCGGCAGAAATGGGTCCCAACGCACGACCAGATCCACTGCGCTTTTCGGCATCACTTCCGGTAGAAAGCCTCAAAAAAGCGTGGGCCATCTTCCAGGCCTTGGAGATCATTCCGAGGGCCAGGACACCGCCCCAGTACCCCATGATACCCCAGCCCATCCGCATATCTTTACTCAACGCATAGTCGTGAGTCACCTGGCGGAGTTAGAAATATGTCACTGACTAGCAGGGTGGAACTCACGTATGACTTGTAGGCGCGCTTGTAGTAGGAATGGCTGAGCAGGACCGGGGTGGAGATGGTTCCAGTAGTAGTGGTGCTGTTGGTTTCCGGGTCAATGAGAGACAATGAGGCAATATACTCATCGGTGGCGTTGGCTTCAATCTCGGTAAGGCTGATCAGAGTTGCACTGGCGTCCTCACAGAGACTCTCCCAGTAGGTTGGGATGGCCATGTTGAATTGTTCCTTGGTGCACCATGACTTGGCACTGACATACGCAGACATGACACCCACGGTGCTGGTGCACAATCCAGTTGAGCTTGAGCCATGGTGTCCGCGCTTTTCTCTCATTGATCGTTTACCATGGGGTGTAACCTTGGCGCCAGTGCTAGAAGAGCTGCTGGCAGTCGTGGTGGCTGAAGAGTTACTGGAGCCTTGTCGAGAGCTACCGGACGAAGAGCCATGTCCAGATGTTTCAGAGCTTGAAGACGATGTCGTAGTCTCGCCTTCCCATGTGTAAGAACCAAGAGATTGATAGACTGCGTAGAAGCAATAATCAGGAAGATTGGGAGCCGAGAAGGAGAACCCCCCGGCGACGACGGGGCTCACAGCCCAACTCAGTCCCAGCAGGAGAGCGGCGTGGGTACGCATTGTGAGGCAGATGAGCTTGAAATCCTGACTGTTCTAGTCGAGGAAGTGCCTGACCCAGTATATATGTCTCGCCAGACATTGCCTTCCACTATCATGCGGTTCTCGATGGACCCATTCTCGTCGCTCGATTGCAAATACATCCGAGCCCACAGACCTTTCCCACCAAGGACTTTTTCGTTGGCAAATTTTCATCACCGGTTATACTTCTGCACAATTCCGAAGCCACCGGAGTATACAACGTCGTATTCCATCCCATCTTTACTGGTCCGCAGTATCCGCCAGCGAACCATTGATCCGGATGCATGGGATGTACTCCCTATCAGATGAAGAGATTGATAAATCGGAAATAACGACCCATTTACATCGCATACGTATACCGAATTTCTCGTGAGTCCTGGCCTGGGAGCCAACGGGGCCCACCGACAACGGAAAACCCCCCCGTCCATGTGGGCTGCCAAGACTAATATCCCCGAAATGCTCTGGATCTGATAAGATCCACCTCGCCGAGGGACGGCCATATGACGGTCGAGAATTGCTTGGCCACCACGGTTTGTCTCCACCTATGGGAAACCACCAGCCTGGACGCCGTGCTTGGCAATCTCTTGAGGGCTAGCGGACCGTCGGGGTCCCCCAGCTCATGGCTAGTCGTCGCACTTCCATGTGTCTGCGTCGGGACCGGTTCCGAGCCCTGGGTGATGCTAAGCGAGGTAGTGGGCAAGCACGGTCTCTGTTGGCACCAGGTTTTGCCTTATCGGGCAAGTATCCCACCCATGGAGCCGTTGTTCCAGGTTGGTTGTCGCAAGGTATGCACGTTTCAGGGTAGCTGGTCCGTATTGTTGCGGCAATTATGTACCTATTGTCTGATCACAGTGATGATTGGTCCTTGGCATGACGTCTAAACCCATGGTTGGGCTTCACCTGGTACGAGAACCCGTTCTTATCAATCTTTGTGCTCCAATGAAGAGCCAAGGTTGACGGGTTGGGCAGGAGACAGCCAACGAGACAGGCCAAATTAACATAGATGCAGTGTCATTCGGACTCTTCGATGGCCATTGGGCATGCGAAGAGTGAGTCACACCCTAAGGAAAGTCAATTGTCCGTCTCATCAAGAACGTTCTACTCATTAAGGTGGCGGTCTATAGCCACTAAGAGTGCTGGGAGATGCCATTTTCATACCCAGAATTTCGGATCCACTTACTCCAAGTCAAGCAGTTTCTTCCTTTCCGCTACCTAGTGACCGATTGGCCCCGTACCCACGAAAACAAGGGATGCAAGTCACCGCAAAATTGCCCGTCTGGTGGTCCCACCGACCTGTGGCCGGTAACCCGAGTCAGTGCATATCTCGAGGAAGAATGGGTTTGCGAGCCTAACGGAGAGCTTATTTAGCGAGCCACACCGGGCCAATCCATGGCGCCGCTCCGGTTGTAAGGACGGGCCATCTTATCAATCAATACCGTATGGGACCGGTACATCGTAAGATTACGCGTATCGAGTGATCTCCACTGCCCGCAAGAAGCGCGAGTTCCGCCATGGATAAAGGGACATAGCAGGGCCCTGATGGGGCGAGATATAGAATATGGGAGGGAGAGAAGCATCTGCTAGCAATTGCAGAAGTTAGAGTGGGCTCAAGCATCGTATCCTGGTGAAACGCCCCTAGGAGCCTTGGGAAGGGTTAACCACCAAACCGTTCTGCATCATCGAGGCAGGTGGCGTGGTTTTTTCTTGCCTCTTCTTCCATGCTAAGCACCCATTTTCCCAGTCTCCGTGGTCGGAAGTCTAGGGCCTGAATCGGTCATTTGCCGATGATGTTAATACCAGAGAAGTCAGAATGCGTGGTATTGACCTTGGCATCCCCTTGGCATGCCTTCGCGTCACTGACATACGATGACCGTCCTGTGACAGGGCAGTGGTCCCTCCGTCTCCCTCCCGATGGCATGCCATTTGCCCCTGCACCACTTATCTGATCCTAGAGCAAATCCTCCGCCAAACCCAGAGCCCGTGGAGCCTCGCTATCAGATTTTTCTCCTCTTGGCAATCATCTACGCCCCGCTTTCACTCCAACTCATGTCTAGAGACCCCTTGGCAGGCCGCAATAGCCATGATACAGGCACACCACCAGCGGGGTTTCCTGTCAAGATTGATAAGCGAACACGGACTGGCCGATTATTTTACGTATGTAATTCAGCATCGTAGCATTCCGGGCGTTGGAGGCACGGAACTATCCCTAGTGCGATGGCAATTTCGGTATAATAGCTTCCTGCATGAGTTGATAGAGTGCACCTGAATAGGTGTAGCCGCACTCGGAAGACCGTGAGACTCAACCTTTTATCCGTGGGGGTATATGTTGCTTGCTTTCCCTCGGCAATCTTGGACAACCGGGACAGGACCTCTGGCTTTGGCTCTCGCTCACTTGTCAAGCAAATCACTCGACCTTTCTCAGAGTAGCCTTGGACAAGGCTTGCTGTCGACATCATGGCCAACGGTGTGTTTGCGGTGACGGGTAAGATCCTTCCCTGCGCCATGCAGACCCTTGAGCCGGTACTCACCAGACATAGTGTTCTTCATCTGCTTTCGTGAATGTCTCGAAAGTGTGATTATCGTGTCCGTGCTTCTGTCTTTCCTGAAGCAGACGCTAGGATCGGAAGGTGACACAGGAACACTGAAACGATTAAATCGACAAGTATGTCCACCCTTGAATCGTATTGCCCTTCCACTTCCGTACGTCTAGTTGAACTAGGTTTCTAATCACCAGAACCATTCAGGTATGGCTTGGTGTAGCAGGGGGTCTTTTCATATGTCTCTGCGTCGGAGGTGGTATGATTGGCGCCTTCTACGGCCTCGACACCGATGTCTTCAGCGGTAGTGAGGACATCTGGGAGGGTATCTTCGGGTTTATTGCATCCATCATCATCAGTATCATGGGTGCCGGTCTGCTTCGTGTCTCGAAGCTGCAGGACAAGTGGCGGATCAAGTTGTCCCAGGCACTTGAGGAGAAAGAGAAGGGTCCGGCCGGCATCATGCAAAGGTTCAAAGACTGGTCCAAAAAGCACGTCATGTTCCTTCTCCCTTTTGTGACGGTTCTTCGTGAAGGTCTTGAAGCCGTCGTGTATGTCGGAGGTGTCGGTCTTGGTCTCCCCGCTACCTCCTTCCCTCTGGCCGTCGTTTGTGGCCTTGCTGCCGGTATTGCTGTTGGATACATTCTCTACAGGTGAGCCTCCGTTCCATCTCTTCGATGTCATTCCGGGGTATAGAAAATTGCCCCTATTTAGACTGGGCTAACAGGTTCCAGGTGTGGTAACACTGCATCCCTGCAATACTTCCTGATCATCTCGACGTGTTTCCTCTACCTTGTCTCCGCTGGACTGTTCTCTCGCGCCATCTGGTACCTCCAGAACAACGCCTGGAATAACATCATCGGCGGCGATGCTTCCGAGACGGGATCCGGAGCTGGTTCGTATGATATCCGTCAGAGTGTCTGGCACGTCAACTGCTGTAACCCCGAGCTGGGTAGTGGTGGTGGATGGGGTATCTTCAACGCTCTGTTCGGATGGACCAACTCCGCCACCTATGGTTCCGTGTTGGGATACAACCTGTACTGGATCTGTATCATTCTCGCCTATGTCTGCATGTGGTACAACGAGCGGTACGGCTATATTCCTGTGATCTCAGCCTGCATGAGCCGAATTCGCCCCAGGAAGTCTGCCAGTCGATCCAGCAGCGAGGGGGTGGTTGAGGTGACTGAGAAGAGGAAGGAGGCGGACCTGATGCCCGCTCATATCATGACTCGCGAGATCAACGATGCCTGAATCTGTCCGAGGTGGTCTGGAACATTGGATATGTGCCATGGATGTCAGCTGTGGGAAAGTACGCAGTACGAGGGGGTTGAGGGAAGGGGGTGCCTTCCGCATGTTGGTGGTGAAATTGTATCCGCTGGGTTGACGAACCTAGCACTCACTGTTATTCTGCACCTCGAATAATTCCACGAGGAAAAAAATAATTGAACTAATTATGCTGTGAATTCAACCTTGTGATTGACTTTTTCCCATTCTGCTGATAACGAACCATCTCTGTAGGGGGCAGTGCCGGTCGGACCACCCGGGAAGTGGTTTCGAGAGAAGCGCCGATGTCCGATAACTTGATAACGTGCAGGTCCTTGGATTGGTTCTGTCATGTGAACCACTGATTGAACGTTACCAGCAGGCATCAAGGATCATCATGTGGCGGGTTGCGAATGTCGTGAGCAGATCTCGGGGATAAGCGCTGGTGCCTTGAGGTCCCGGTGGATCCCCGAGCTGTCGACATCACCTCCAATTCGCATATAGTCACCATATTGCGTCGTCTAGCCGATAGAATAATCTCGTCAACAACAGTATCCCTGTGTATTGTTGCTATACGATCATGCATTGCCTACCGTTGTTACCATGCCTGATAGTTTTCACCAGTTGGGCTGCCATAGCCCTCGCTATAGGACCGCCGCCCGTCCAAAATGCCAACCACATATTCAACACCATTCACGCCTCCATGCGACAATGGGGCTCTTCACTACATCATAATGGAATGTCATTCTTCCTCGCCTCCGTGCCGCAGGGGACTAAACTCTACCATGGAGACTCACGTTCCGACACCATCTCCGACATCGGTTGGATGGCCTTTGATCCCGAACACGCGATGGTGTTTGCTCGACCATCGTCCAAGGCACCCAGAATTCAATCAACCGAATCCGGCTCGCAGCAAGTGATGGCTGCTAGTGAGAAAGACGAGGCGGGCTGGCTCCACACCTACGTGACGACGAACGATCTGCAACTGGTTTACATCGATGGTACCTCGGCGGGCAAGTCACACATAGGCACCCTGGACCTGCAAGATCGGGTTCTTTTCGAGGATAAGCTGGAGAGCGGAGGAGTGACCCAGGAGACACAGCGTGCTCGTGCGGCGTGTCAAATTGCCCAGGAGGAATGGGATGGCCGGATTGACGGCGTGATTCGCATGGCTGCCGGGTTCGAGATCATCCTCTGTCACCCCGAGCAGATGCTCGAGCCGGTTCATATTGGCCGGGCCAAGTTCTCCAGTGGCAATAAGGGAAAGCAGGGTGGCAAGCCCGGAGAATTGCTTCGGAGTGTCACGTCCAGATATCATGGCATTGGGGGTGATCGTGTGATTGTCAATTATGATGCCTTTGTCACGGCATATGACTATGATTTGGATCTCGTTCCTCTCGGCAGCAAGCTGCCGCGTCTTGAGCATCTTCCCGCTTCATCGCTTGCACCCATCCGGGACAACTTGACGGAACTGATCATGACACACGATGCAACAGACCGGCTGGTAAACTGGCAAACAGTCGCGGACATGGTTGTCGAGAAATACGGCCGCACTCTGCGCAGCTTAACATCCGGTTATCATGATCATGTCGCCCCCCTGCAGTCCATCACCAAGGAGGTGCAGCGCATATTGTCTCCATTCATCGATTATGACAACGAAGACATCGAGGGTGAGCTGGGGCAATGCTCAACCCAATTTCTCCCAGCCCATGCACCCAAAGACTCACTCTCCTACCGTTCCGTCTACACCGTGACCCGCCGGATTTGTTCCAGTCTCGTCGAGGTCTCTCAAGCCGAAGACCACCACACCGCCACCAACATCCTCCATGATCTAATGGACTACCTCGACTGGACCATCTGGAAAGAATGCCACGGGTGCCACGACGACGAATTCTGTGCCATTCCCATCTGGCCTCAAGGCACACAAGAAGATTATGACCATCCACACTGTCAAAAGTTCGATAACGCCTACGAAGGGGTGAATGACTACTGGGGCCCAGTGTGGCGGTGAATCTTCGTTGCGCAATGATTTTCTACTCTATCTATTTCTGTGACTCCAGGCCTGGTGCATACACATTGTCTTTCACTTAATTTGTTTCAACATCAGAATCTATCTCCGAGACATACAACTCCGAAAATGAACCCACGGACTCATGTAGTTGTATCGTGAAACCCCCTCTTGTGGCCAGTCTCTTCGGTTGAGACTGGATAGTGGTAGGTCCTCGCCCGATATTCCCCAATCCGGCATCTAGCCCCGGCGCGCGTCCCATCATCCCCGACATGTCCATCGCAAACGTCGGCCCCTCGGTGTAGAACCGCCCAACTAGTAAGGCCACGTGAAACGTCCGAATAGGCATCCACTGTCCAGATTCAGATTCTTCTACTCAGTATTTATCAGCAACTCGCCCTGATGGAGGGACTCGGACAGACGTGCATGGCTGGCCCTACGAGGATCACCGCGCTAACCGTTTCGGGTGGTGGTTTGCGAACGGGCTTCGGGCGAGGGGTTTTTCCATTCCGCTGTGGCATATTGTCTGCTTGGTTCGTCCAGTGGAATTTCTTGCTTTTCAATCATCTTGCCGGGGGCATGGCCCCAGAGAAGTACATATTGAGTTCCTTCCCAGCGGCGATTACCCTTTTGCAGGTGACAGTGTTCTTGAAAAGGAAAAACAGATATGTACAGGTGAGAATGTGCATGCTGATCAACATATTGAACAAAGGTAATTATAAGGTGAGAAGGAGAATTAAAAAAAAAAGGCAAGCAGACAACACGCTGAAGCATGCAGACCTGGCCATCAGGGGTATAACGATCATCGAGTCACGTAACGTGGCATCAGAGGCTTCATCCGCGTTCTTCATCGTACAGCTGCCAGACTTCCCATAGGCGCTCTGTCAAGAAAGCCTACACTGGAATCGTCTGACCGGTCTTCCATGCACAAGGTGGAAGCCAGCCGGTAGCCCATGGTCGTACCGACACACCCCAGAGCGCGCCGACAAAGAGTCAGTTGTTCTGCTGTCGCAAGCCGACAGTTGACCACCACCCACATGGGCCACAGGAGCGTGTATCCATTCGCCAGCTTGCTGCTGGGGTGCAGCTGGAACTCACCATCGGGGGTGACATGGCCGAGAGTGTAAGTTACAGTGTTGCATATTACTTCGATCAAGCCTTTGATCCGATCGTCTAACCCGTTGAGGGTTTCTGCAGGGAGATTCTCAATATGCTCATCGTCTAGCGCGAAGTCCACGCAAAGAAACTCTTCCGAACACTCCAGGACGTGGAGGAAAAAGAATATCTGGGCAGCCTGCACAACGGCCAGGAAGCAGGGGGTCCATGGGTCTCGCGAGGCAGCCTGCTCCGCCTGATTCGCTCTGTCCGTGGTTGGGACGGAGAACTGGCGCTTCCAATGTTGAGGAACGGCTTCGTCCCAGATGTTGATTTGCTCCAGGATGAAATATGCCCGCGCCAGGAGGGAATGGAGCATCCTGGCCCGAATACTGGGCATTTGATCCTGTCCGGATATTCGAAATTCGTTGACTGACTGACAGAACTCGGAGATCATACTAGTTATGATTCCCGAACGTAGCACGTAGTCTGGACTGTATGCCATCTTGATGGAAGCTGGCAAGGAGGCATACAGGAACTGGTTGCTGGCTATCGCTTGAATTTGCTGCATCGTAGTGACCACATTAACAGCTGACTTGATCGGGACGTGGGGTGGAACTCACAATTTGCGTGAACGCCCAGCCGAATAACTTGCGAGCGTACTTGCTACTGCGCTGCGGCCGGCCCCGAAGATGTATGAGGGAGCAGATCCCAGGAATGTGAGGATTAACTGCACCCTGTCTTTCGCCACCCAGGTCCTGCTCTTGAATCAGAAAAGGCAAACCGGAGAGAGTCCGGGCGGATATTTTCAGACTCACAATGAACATGCTCAAGAAGAGTGCTGCCGCAAAGGTCTCGTCTTGACTCGACGTCTCCGTGCCGTTGAGCGCTGTGGTAAGCGACTTCAACGCAATCCCATAATGCTTTCGGGCGTTGACATAAAGTTCATTTAATCGAGCCGTATTATAGAGGGATAGGTAGGATACGCTGAGGAGAGCGTGTCTCAGGCAAGGGTCGTTGCCTTTCTCCTGGAAAAGCTCCGGGAGAAACTCCAGATGACCTTCACAAGGGGACTTTTGAGTAGGCAAAACATGTTGATGGAAGAAATAACACAGTGATTGCCACTCCAGACAGGGCGTTATGGCGGCCGGAGGGCTAGGTGCCCTGGGGGAAGAGTTGGTAAGAACGAGACGTGTACCTGCTTCCCCTTGTTCGATCAGCGACGGTGAGGTCGGACCACTTGCGGACTGATCGCTCTGCGCAGGCTTTTTCGCTCGTTTCCGGATTGCTACCTTCCCAGGCTGAGGGTCCTTGGTGGCTTTGTATTGACGGAACGCAAATGCATCCGGATACCCTGTGCACTGCCTTTGCTGTGCGATGCAACGTTGGCATGCCGGTCGGGCTCCATCACACTGTGCCAGTTGATCAACTACCATTCCAGGCCATGGAGTGGAGGGGACGTCTATCATTCACAGGACATACCTTGACTTTACGCCTACGGCATACATAGCACCCGGTGCTAAGCCTCCCCGGGAACACCATGCTTAAGCGGGGGATAGCGGAGAAAGGTGACAGGTATAGGCAGGGGAGGATGCAGGTCACCTCGGGGGAACATAAAAGTGGTGAGTGGACTGGAAAGGGTAGTGTTTGCGAGAGGATGGATATGACTGTCCGCTTTCTTTTCCGCGCTGAAGAGGGGAAGTGCGACCATCTCCGCCACCAATCGGGCCTCAAGCGGAATGAACCCTCCGGCCCGATCACGTGGGGCAATTCCTTGCCCGTTGGAGGGCTAGTGCGGCGCTAGTGCAGTGGGCAGTCGCAACAGTGGCCCTGAACAGGTCTAGATCGGCCTGGTGCCAAGACCCCTCGCCACGAGGGCCAATGCCATCCCGAGATATTCATTTTCGGGCTTGGCAGAACCAGGGTACCGGTTTTGCAGAATCATGCTGGTCAGGTGACTCTGTTGTTACTATATTCTGGTAGGCAAATAATACGTCGGTCTATCTATTATCGACTACAAACCGCTAAGTTGAGAGAACCTGCGAGTTAAATTCATGAGAAAGAGCACCATGGGTTTTTGGGGAAGAATGGCTTGCCCGTCTACCCCAAAAAGGCAAGCAAAGGTCCGAGTGCTCGGCATATATATAGAGTCGGGATGGAGTAGACTATATAGGCATGTCAACCTCCGAGGCCATGTCAAGTGCTTGGACAGAGATGGGGAAATGAATCACGACCTAGAAAGGCAACTGGAGGTCCGAAGTTGGAAGACACCTGCCGAGTGCGATGTGAGCGTTGAACGTATAAAGGAGGATGATACACCCCAAGCTGGTGCAGTCTCAGCATCGCATTCTCATCACTTACTCCAGTTCAATTCTCTCATTTGCACACCATCCCATCCGAATCTACCATGGCTTCCATTGACTACGACGTGATTATTGTCGGGGCCGGTCCGGTTGGGCTTTTCCTCGCCTGCGAGCTCCGACTCGCTGGGTTAACCGTCCTCCTCCTTGAAAGAAGGACGGGCAATGAAGGTATGGCCGAGACTCGTGCGTTTGTCATGCATGCTCGCTCTTTGGAGATTTTCGCAGCGCGCGGTCTTCTCGACCAGTTCCTCCAAGCAGGGCAGAAGACCAGTTGGTGGCACTACGGCGTTCTCGACACCCGGCTCGATTATAGAGTCTTTGGGCCGGAGACTGATGCGAATTATGTCTTGCTAGTTCCGCAGTATCGGACGGAGGAGATCTTCCGTCACCGCGCAGAAGAGCTCGGAGCGGTGCTTGTGGAAGGAGTCAAGGTGCAATCGATTAATCCAACCGATCACAGCGTCACCGTGACGGGAGTCTACAACACCTCGGAGAAAAATGGTGAGCTCTTCACTGCAACTGGTAGATACCTTGTGGGGGCAGACGGCGTTCGCAGTACAATCCGCGAGCTCGCCCAGATCGATTTTGTTGGCAACCCACCCATCAATACCGTCATGAGCGGCGAGGCCACACTGGGAGTCCCCATGCCCAACCCATACATCGTGCACAACAAGAACGGCCTGGTGATCGCTGCAGACCTAAACGTACCCAGCGGCAGAACAAGGCTCAACGTTTTTGTCAGCTCCCAGGCAACGATCCCGGAGTCTGTCCCGGTCACGCTCGAGGAGTTGAGCGAGGGCCTGCGCACGATCACTGGCGTGGATTACAAACTCTCCAATCCCTGTATGCTGAAGCGATTCAGTAATGAACAGCGACTGGCCAGCAGATACCAGAACGGCAGAGTCTTCATTGTTGGAGATGCTTGTCATAAGCATCTTCCAGCCGGGGGGCAGGGACTGAACGTCGGTCTTCAAGAAGCGTTCAACCTAGGATGGAAGCTTGGAGCAGTTATTCGTTATTCGGCGCCTAGCTCATTGCTGCACACATACGAAGATGAGCGACTGCCAGCTGCGAAAGCTGTCGTGCAGAACACCACTTCGCAGTCTCTCCTTTTCTTCGCTTCCACCGGCCCGGAATGGGCGGTCAGAAATGCGATGGAAAAGCTCCTGCGCGTACCTGAAGCCAATAGAGAGTTGGCTTTGGAGATCAGCGGCTTTGCTGTTTCATATCCTAAACCATTGGATATGTTGCGCCCCGATGGATGGCAAACCCTGCCAAAGAGCATGCAGGGGATGCGAGCTCTCGATGTCAAAATACAGACACCGGATGGAGTAGTGACGAGACTCTCGGAGCATTTGAGGTGCGGTCGCTGGGTCCAGTTGATGCTCCCTGGGACGCCAAGGCACTCACAATCGATTCCAGCATTTAGCGATCGGACCGTGGTGGTGGAGGTTGCGGACATGCCGGATACGGAGGCAAGAGTCGGTCTTTACTCTGGGGATTTCAGTGGGATCCTGGTGCGCCCAGATGGATTTCTTGCATTTGGTCGTATGGACTAGTGGATTAGACTAGAGGCCAATACCTTGTAACTCACTCGGTAGCGCTTGATTATAAAGTAGAGTATTAGTTTATTTGGAGGACGTTTTGCGAAACCCAGTGCAATGCTTCCCTGTGTTATAGCTTGAGACACTGTACCTCGATGAGAAAACATGGAGGCCAGAATGCAGTGGGTGGACGGAAACTTTGACCACAGATGTGTATCACGCTCTTCCTGATATCTAGGTCAAGGCTCTTCTAGAAACGTATCGTCATACGTTGGGTTATTGAATCAAAGAGACTCCCAATCTGGGACGGACACACGACATCGAGTTTAGCAACGGTATTGTTCAAACTTGCTGGGGTTATCGCGCTCATCAAATGGGAGATCGGCATGGTAACGGTAGCTTTGTTCTAGCATATATATTGCTGGAGTTCTATATAGCAGCATCGTCGTATACTTCGGCGGACGTGAATGCAGTGAGGAAATCCCACGAGTCACTATCCCAGTCAATTCCCCCAATATCAAGGAAGAAATCAGGCGTAGGCTACACCAGAACCCTGTTAGCAATAATCGATGGGCCCGTCTGGGCCAACTTACAGGTTGGAGGTCGCCATGACCAACCACCGAAGATGAAGGCAGGCGATTCGGAGGAAGCGGGCTGGGTTCGGAAATTTCGCTCTTTCGGTAATGAGATTAGAGCACGCAAGTGCTATTTGGAGTAAGGATACTCACCTCCTTATTCCCTGACGCAGCGCTGCTTATCCTTTCAACCGTCTTATTATATCTTCCCAGACTCTGCCAGAGCGCCTGGGATACCCCATCAAGTGATTCACAACCGGCCATGCGTGATTTGACAGAAGCAATAGCCATAACCAAAAACATGTATTTCTTGAAGTCCTTCTTCTCATGTGAGGTCCATAGCTCTAGAACAGCAATACAGTCCCCAACAACCCTGATAAGATGCTCAGAATGATAATTATCACAGCCTCTCCCAGAGAGGTCGAGCGGGAACGTTGCCGGCAACGGGTGGCCTAGCAAGGATTCATCGACTCGTTCAAGCATCAGCTCGAGGCACAAACTAAGAGTCGAATTAAACAGGTCGTCAATAAGATAGCCCCCAGATAGAGCAGCCAAGGGGCGATCGTGACGGGCGTTAGACTCTCGGGACACGCATACCCCAAGAAAATCCAGCAATGTCAGGGAAGAAGACAAGCATCTGATGCGCGAGTAGTGGAAACCTGAATCATGAGCACCCTTCATGGCAAATGGGCGATGAAGGGCGAGGAGCAGCCGATGAGTGATAACGTTAAAGTGAGATACAAGAAATGATCTAGTTGAGTGGTTGACAACAGAGGCGCCATTATCACTGATCAATAGTCGGGACATAGCATCTGTAGACCCAATCACGCGTGCACTAAGACGCATTACTTCCTCGTAGGACAAGGGTTTAATGCGATTGAGGATTGTCGCCGCTTGAATTCTGACGTCTAGCATCTGATACTGGGTGATCTGATAGGAAGCCCTGGTAAATGTGCTCGGTGCTTTCGGCTCAGGGTTCGACGTACTGTTCTCTGAGATATCTTCATCGTCAATATTCGGCGGTGGAAGAACATCAAAACTATCCAGAGAGATACATGGCGGCAAGCCCGAGATGAGTGAACTTTGCACCTCAGCTTCCACGATAGCGACCCAAAGTCTTCGTCTCATTTCTCTTTGAAACACAGTCATAGAGTAGAAGGCAGCAGGGTCGCGATGAAGCCCGAAGGCTATGGCCTCCCGGATAAGCATTCCAGAGGAGAGCCAGCTGCGATCATGATCGCGTCCGCACACTTGACAAGCAAGTAGGAGCAAATATCGGGATTGAAGTGCCTGTATGGAGATCTTCCTCGTTGGCCAGCTCGCTTGCAGCCATAGTTGGATGTTTTCGAGCCACTCTAGAATTACCTTTCTGTCAATCATGGAGGAATAAATATTGTCTTCCCCATTTGAGAAGCAGTTGGCAATAGCGAGAGCAGACAGAAAACAGGATAGCGAGAACGGGCAACTGCTGGAGGCCTGAGATAGGATCGAGTCCACGCTGTCTAGGAAACTAGGGACATGCAAGACCCGGTGCGAGTATCCAAATGTTTCCAGATAACGTGATATCAATGGTTCGGCAATGTGCGGCGGGGGTATCCAGGACCTTTGCAGTCGTAGGACACTACTTTGGACCAAAGTGTCTGGCTCTGGACTGCATTTAGCCTTACTCGCCTTATAGTAAGACTTTACCTTTTCACGATTCTCCGACGCAACGCGCATGACATCTGTGAACTACTGACATTTAGCCCCCGTAAGAGCAGGATACATAGCGATGGAGAACTACCTTGCCAATGAGAGAGGCCCAATGGCTCCTCCCCCACACATGGGTATTGTCGTGCTTCCCGTGCGGATAATTGTCTAAGACGTCCACAGTTCCGAGCCCATCAATACGGCCAGGCACCTGTGACCTTGTGGAAGGGTCTTTTGATTGCTCCATGCTGTGGTTGAGCTGCAGAGCATCCAATTTCCGGAGCTCGGAAGCCGTCGTGGGCTCTATTTGTCGATCAGGTGCTGGAACATGGCGCACACCTGCAGACGAGCTATTTCTGGGGGGGTCCACCTCTCGAGCGGTGGTTTTTCCACCATCGGGAGAGCTATCTCTGTAGATGCACAGGTGAGTACATTTCGAGTCAATGCATCGTCGACACGGACGGCGGCGATCACATCTCAGCTTCCGTCGCCGGCACACTGCGCAGGACAGACGCTGTACTGTACGCTTCTGGACCCTAAAATCCGTGATTGTCATCATACTGGGCGTTAATGTGGTGGCGTGCAGTCATTGTAGGTGATAGATGAGGAATGATATCCTTCGGACTCATCGGGCTCGGACTTCGGAGGGTCACCTTCCTAATGGGGGAAGTTCTGCCGCATCCGGTTTACGGATGGCAGCAGCGGCCAGAGGAACTCTCGCTCGTTTGCGTCCTCCATCCCTCGGCCGCCGTCTTGCCTCATCTCGCCGTCATTCGGAGAAGCGAGCATTCCCGATTTATTCTCATTCTGTTTTATCAAGTCAAAATGCGGATTCACCGTCCTTCAAACCATAGACGTCCAGAGCCAACGGTCTCATGAAGTTCGTTAGTCCCGTGGGCCAACCGCCCGGGATCCCCACTGCACCCAATGCTTGCTTCCCCAGTTGGAATCGCTTCTTTACGATAGATGCATCCAACAGTATGCTCCCATCTTGTATGCGAGCGGTGAAGCGCAATGTTTTGCTGACTCTGGTGGTACGACTAGATCCTCTGTCAGCGACATATGTCTCAGCCCGCTATGCGTGCCCACTACTAGAAGCAGGTGTCGGGGTCCGATCCTGCCAATGAATCACAAGGATGGAACAGCCTGGAGACCATGGAGACTAGGCTTGACTGATGATAAGGCGAGGTTGTATTCCCATTGCCAGTACGAAAATTTTTGGCATCATAAAGACTTCAACATCGCGCTGTCATTTCTGTGAGTACCGTCAGGAATATGCCAACCACGCAAGAGTCCCTGGAAACCAAGGAGTCAGCTGTTATGGCATACCCTGCCCTATTTATGAAAGGCTATGCATCGATGCCCTGACGAACATGAGCTATCTTGCTGACTCCATCATCATTGCCATAGACTCTTCTCAGTCCTTCCTCGATGGCTACGCTACGCCGGCAGACGCCTTTGCGAAGTCCCTCCCCACCATACAGGGAATAGACAATGGAATGGAAGGCGACCTGTAGAATTCGTCTGGTTTCAACATAGGCTGGGAATCTGGCCGTGCATAACTCTGAAGTTCGGCATCGGGGAGGAAATGACGTCATCTACCCCAGAACCAACAAGCGCATGTTGAGAATGTCTGGTTTGATGACAGTTGATCTCAGGGAAGGTTGCTCTGAGCATCCATGGGCCGCATTGCCGAAAGGTTACATGCAGGAGAACGTACTATCCCTGAGCAAACCGGATCTGTCAAGTTTGCCTCCGGACTGCGTCATGGGAGCACCCTACGTGGTTGACCAAACAGCTCGCACATTCTGCCCCCGGTCGCTGGGCGGGATACCTCTTCGGGAGTTCCGATAGGCGGTCTAGCTGCTAATTCGCGCAGCGGTTTGTACCTTCTACTTCGGACATTCTGGCTCCTGGTGCGCATTTCGTGGTGACACTTGACTCGGTCATGGTTTATTCCTACTAATTTCTATGGGAAATCTAATACCTCGGAGTGAGGCTATACGAAGGAGATTAGGGATCTTTACCCTAGGGATTGCGTGCGACTGAAATGTAGCATGTGCGGTTCACATCGAGGGTCGTGGAGTGCGGCAAACTGTATCAGGGAGCTGTAGCCATTCCGATTGATTGCCTCGGACGTGACCCCACGCTGATCGATCGATGGAAGCTGCAGTAACCCCACTGTTACTGTTAAATTTTCCTCGGATGCCCCGACCTTCATGACGTCGCGCCACCATGGCTTCTTGACACCATGCTTGGCTTTTACAGGGCTGAGGGGTGGGACTATCTATAAGACTTGTCATCTCCATTTCCCACGCAACTGCTTTCCCGTAAATCAATCTACCTCCCGTATCTTTTGTCGAGCTCGATGTTGGTACGGGATCACTCGAGCAGTGCCAGGCTTCGGATTTCTCTCACGCCTCGGCAGTCGCATTGCCTGGGCTGCATTAATGAATCCAACCACAGCAGTTGTACTTCAGCAACCCTGACGAAGTCTCTTCGCTATGACGGCTAACGATTCTTCTACGAAGCTTTCGGGCCTGGACCCCGAAAAGCCCAACAAGACATTGGACCAAGGGGATAGCTTGAGCCCTACCCGTCAACCTGGAAATATACACGCAGAGCATGCCACGCAGTCGGACGATGATAGTGAACTTCGTGGGAGGTTCTATGGCCCTGACAAACGAGAGCTAACCGAAGACGACTGCTGCGAGAAGCTAGGCTTCTGTTTCCCCTGGTATAAGAAGTGGTCGATTCTTACCGTCATTTTCATCGTGCAGATGTCGATGAATTTCAATAGTAGTACCTTTTCCAACGCCGTGCCGCAATTATCGGAGCACTTTCACATCAGTGAGCAGGCAGCCCGGACAGGCCAAATGGTCTTCCTCGTCACGTACGCCTTTGGCTGCGAACTTTGGGCCCCGTGGAGTGAGGAATTTGGCCGGTGGCCCATTATGCAACTCAGCCTCCTGCTGGTGAATATCTGGCAGATACCCTGCGCGCTGGCTCCCAATTTTGGGACCATGGTCGTCTGTCGTGGCCTTGGTGGGCTGAGTTCAGCGGGTGGCTCGGTCACCCTCGGGATGACTGCCGACATGTGGGAGCCAGATGATCAGGGCTTTGCCGTAGCGTATGTGGTCCTATCTTCAGTTGGAGGGACCACGATTGGGCCCATCTTCGGCGGCATGATGCAGCAATGGTTGAACTGGCGATGGAACTTTTGGATCCAACTTATCTTCGGCGGTGTAACGCAGGTCCTTCACTTCTTCCTTGTCACCGAGACTCGGTCCACAATCCTCCTGGACCGGGAGGCCAAACGCCGACGCACATCGGGGGAGGAACCTGATGTGTATGGTCCAAACGAGCTGAAGCCCTCCCGGTTCAATGTCAAGGAAGTGCTGCGCGTTTGGCGCCGGCCGTTTGAGATGTTCCTCCGTGAACCCATCGTCCTCTTTCTTTCGTTGCTCTCTGGATTTTCGGACGCGCTCATCTTCACCTGCATTGAGTCGTTCGCGTTGGTGTTTGCACAGTGGGGGTTCGATGCACTCCAGATCGGACTATGCTTTATTGCCGTCTTAATCGGCTACTTGGTTGCCTACCTCATCTTCCTACCCGACATCTACCGCCAGCAACAAGTCAGGCACCGTGAAGGGAATGCGTCTCGAGTGGCCGAGCGGCGTCTTCTGCTCTTGCTCTTTATTGCCCCGCTTGAAACGATCGGACTGTTTGGGTTCGCCTGGACCTCGATGGGACCAGAATACACGCACTGGATGGTGCCGTTGGTGTTTGTCTTCTTGATCGCGATCGCCAACTATGGCATCTACATGGCGACGATCGACTACATGGTTGCGGCGTACGGCGAGTACTCCGCGTCGGCAACGGGAGGCAATGGGTTCGCGCGAGATCTGCTTGCGGGGCTGTCGGCTATGTACGCGACACCGATGTACAGCAACATCGGTGGCCGGTTCCATTTGCAATGGGCGAGCACGATCCTTGGGTGCTTGTCGGTTCTGGTGACGATTCCCATTTACATCTTCTATTGGAAGGGGCCTCAAATCCGGGCGAACAGCAAGTTCGCGCAAACCCTGGAGGCGGACCGGGAGCGGCACGCGGCCGTCCGTCGGGCCAGCCAAATAAGTGTTTCACAGAAGGCATCCGCGGCCTAGTCCGTACCAAGATGGACTTGCGGAGACCCGACTTGGCTGGTACGATGTGATGCTGACGATGTATCAAGATGTATGCTTAGATATTTTCTGCTTATTTAGCATTGTGGTACCAGGTTTGTGTGACGGTATTGTGTGGGATGATTTCACTTCCATTCACCCTTTGTCAGTCAATCGACTTGTAGTCACAAGGCGCTGTGATTTTACGCAGCTTAATGGGTCAACGTCATCAGGCACTCTGATCAGGAGTCAACTCCGCTATGCCATGACTTCCTATCTCATTGTCATGCACCTATCTTCCTAGCCTTGGACCTTTCCAGGATGCTACACAAACAATCCCATCACGGGGTTCCTGAAGTCTTAGACATCTCGTATTCGAATGCAACTTCACTTCACCATTGCCGCCGAATACCACCTTATTCCCTAGAGGGGACAAGTTCAAGGCACCCGGCCTGAGACATCCGGCTTCCCCGCCCGGGAGCCTCAGGTGCTTGACACCATGTGGGCCGATGGTTGGTGGATTGATGCAGTGAAAAATACAAGACGATAGGTGTCGCTGATGCTGTTGTACAAGCTAGCCCCGGCGAGCTTCTCCGCACTATTGACGCCACCAAGAGGGGTTGATCTCACGTCATCGAGGGCAGTCTCATTGAACCTGTCCACCATCGTTCAAACAGTACTGTGTATGTCTTTTATCCTAATTAATCTCTGGTTGAGTTGGAAGACGTCTTGCGGTTCCTGACCCGGTCTTTGCAGTTCCCCGCGTTTTGATCGCCTGCCCAAGGCCCAACGCAGGAATGATCCCTCGCCACATTAACCAGCGGCGGGCGCTACGATGACGCACATCAGACCAGTCTCGCCATTGGCCATGTTCCACACGGAGCGGTCAGGCAATCCGCAGGCACATGCTATCGCGGAGATCCAAGGGTCCAGACATGCAAGCTCGCCGACTATCGAAAGCTAGTTTAAGTTGAGACCGGGGTTACAAAACCTCTCCAGTCAGCACTCTGTGCTTGTGAGACATACCGACACCTCGTTTGTCTTTCACGGTCCGACAGATCCGGTCTGTGGACGCCTGAGCCAGTTCCAGGCTGTCCGAATGGTCGCGTTGACTCGCCAAGCTATCGGCCTTATCACGCTGAAGAAATGAATCGACCAAAATAGCACCGCAGCCTGGGCATCCTCACCAGGGAGTACCCGTCATACCACCGACAGGGAAGGCTTCTACGGCTACGGATTCTTCGCGGTCATGAAGACATTCACTGACGATTGGATGCCCATCACCTGGTCACATCCGGGAGACCTGGTTACTCGATTACCCGGCCGTCCGTTGAGACCGTCTGCAGACTAGCACTCAATACGACATCACAAGCGCGAGCCTCGATGCCATCACATCACGATGAGAGACGGGTCATGCCACTGAATTCGCCCCGCTTCGCAGATATATAAAGAACTCAAGATCCCATCTGGATTGTCCTGACATCCAACCCATCAATCCTCAGTCAATCAATCCAGCAAGATGCATCTCGCACACCTCACCATCCTCGCTGTCGTCTCCCACCTCGCGGCGGCAGTGCTGCCCCGCGACGACAGTCCCACTACCCTCGTCGCGGTGCCCTCTGCGGCCGTCGCCAATGCTGTGGCCACCCCCTCTCCGATTCAGCCGGGCATGACCAGCAACTGCAACTCTTTCCATCTGGTGGGCACCGGGGACACCTGCACTACCATTGCCAGCAGTGCAGGCATCTCCCTGGCCAACTTTTATTCCTGGAACTCCGGTGTCGGGACTGGCTGCGACACCCTCTGGCTGGGATATTATGTCTGCACGGGAGTGAGTAGCACCACGACTGTACCCAGCACCACCACCACTACCACCACCACCACGACCAGCGTGGCGACCCCGTCGCCGACGCAGTCGGGGATGGTGAGTAATTGTGACGCGTTCTATCTGGTGGCAACGGGTGATACGTGCACGACGGTTGCGCAGAAGAAGGCAGTGTCGGTGACGGATATTGTGTCGTGGAACCCGGGTGTTGGGACTGGTTGCACGAACTTGTGGTTGGGGTATTACATTTGCGTGGGTGTTTATTAGGTCCTTGGAGATGGTGGATTTATTGAGGACGAGAAGATAGTCACGATGGATGAGTGCTCTGGGATTAATCGGGCTCCTGTGGTATGTGAACCATGTCGGGTTGAGCTTGTCTGGGATAGGATGTGAGGGTATTTAGGGTTGTCAATAATGTGACGCGTTGAGTTGAGACTGTCTTGAATCACAGTCCAGTACTATTTCGCCTTAAGATGATAAACCATACTAAAGTAAGACTAAAGTGAGATGCTCCTCATTTAGAGTGTGACCTCTAGACTCTTACCATATTCACCAAAGGCATGACACTCCTCGATGAGAGTCTGTCAATTTGTAGCTTCGTCCGATACCACCCTACATCATCATCCATCGATATATCTCCTTGTTACCTAATAACACAGCATGTCTTTGATATGGTCATCCTGCTATCTCCTTCCGACTGCATCTACCTGAAGCACGACTCCACCACGGGCCCATCCGTTCCGCGGCCAGCCGCCCACGCGGAATTATCCTTCCGAAATGCCGCACAATCCGCGGTGGCCAATGCGGGTCCGCGGATTGCCGCTGATGGGCTTGGGTGCGGGGAAACCACCAACTGGCCGCTCACCGGTCGGAATGGAATGAAGGATGGCGGGTGGCTGTCCCCACCGCTGATAACACCGCGATCGATCCAACCGAGGGACGTGGACGGGTCCGGGCAGGCACTTAAAAAGGCCCAGATCCATCGCTCCGTTCCTGGCTAATTCCTTCGACCAGTATCCGTCAGCATGGCTCTTCAGACTGTGCTTCTCGCCGCCGTCGCGGTCGTCTACTTTGTCATCCGCTATCTCAACCGCACCGATGTTCCCAAGATCAAAGGCATCCCGGAAATTCCGGGGGTGCCCATGTTTGGAAACCTCCTCCAACTGGGCGAGCGTCATGCCGTGGTGGCACGGAAATGGGCCAAGCAATTTGGGCCTGTGTTCCAGGTGCGCATGGGCAATCGGGTGAGTTTACCTCCCAGTCTTGGATGGGAAGGGTGGTCTGACCGATCAGCGTGTCGTCTTCGCCAACAGCTTCGACTCGGTCCGTCAGCTCTGGATCAAAGATCAGAGTGCTTTGATCTCGCGCCCGACCTTCCACACCTTCCACAGCGTCGTGTCCTCCTCGCAGGGCTTCACAATTGGTACCTCGCCGTGGGACGAGTCCTGCAAGCGTCGCCGCAAGGCTGCTGCCACCGCCCTCAACCGCCCGGCCGTGCAATCGTACATGCCGATCATCGACCTTGAGAGCACGACCAGCATCAAGGAGCTGTTCAAGGATAGCCAAAACGGGACGGTGGACATCAATCCAAAGGCCTACTTTCAGCGATTTGCCTTGAACACCAGTCTCACTCTGAACTACGGATTTCGCATCGCGGGCAATGTCGACGACAAGCTGCTGCATGAGATTGTGACGGTCGAGCGTGGAGTGGCTAATTTCCGGAGTACCAGCAACAACTGGCAGGATTATATCCCGCTGCTGCGTATTTTGCCCAAGCAGAACCGCGAGGCGGGCGAGTTCCGGGCGCGTCGGGACAAGTACCTGAGCTTTTTGCTTGACATTCTTAAGGATCGTATTGCCAAGGGAACCGATAAGCCTTGCATTACTGGGAACATTCTGAAGGATCCGGAGGCGAAGCTGAATGAGGGTGAGCCAACTACCACTGCGATGGAGTCTTCGCTAACTATGAACAGCGGAAATTAAATCCATCTGTCTGACTATGGTCTCCGCTGGTCTGGATACCGTTCCTGGTAACCTCATCATGGGCATCGCCTATCTTGCCTCCGAAGACGGCCAACGGATCCAGCAAAAGGCATACGACGAGATCATGAAGGTGTATCCCGACGGCGACGCCTGGGAGAAATGTCTTGTCGAAGAGAAAGTGCCCTACGTGTCTGCCCTTGTCCGCGAAACCCTCCGCTTCTGGACTGTCATTCCCATCTGTCTTCCTCGCGAGAGTACCAAGGATATTGAGTATAACGGGGCGACAATCCCCGCCGGCACTACTTTCTTTATGGTACCCCCGCCCCCCACCCTTTCTCCATGCATAGATGCTAATAATATAGAACGCCTGGGCCGCCGACTACGACGAAGACCACTTCCAAATGCCCGACCAATTCATCCCCGAACGGTATCTCGATATCGCCGAAGGATCCGGCACCCCACACTACGGCTACGGCGCTGGATCGCGCATGTGCGCCGGCTCACATCTTGCCAACCGCCAACTCTTCACCGCGTATGTCCGTCTGATCACAGCGTTCACGATGCATCCCTCCCGCGATGAGGCCGACCGACCGATCCTGGATGCGATCTACTGTAATGAGATTGCCACTGGCTTGACGACCGAGCCGAAGCCGTTCAAGGTAGGATTCAAGCCACGGGACCCGGTGAGTTTGCAGCGGTGGATTGAGGAGAGTGATGAGCGGACGAAGGAGTTGTAGTATACCAGGGGAAAGGGACAGGTTATGATGATATGGTTGTACATATTACACAAATATACAGTAGGCATGCTTAGCTTACTATCTTCCATTAGCGAAAAAGACCGAATGTATCACACCGTCTGCTTGTAATCCACGTAGTTAGACAACCCCTCTTCCCCCCGAGCACTAGATTACTATATAGAGCAGTGCAATAAACCTACCCCACCACTCACCGCAGCTCAAACCAGTCCAACTAACCCCCCAATCAAAGCAGCCCAATAAATGAACCAAAAGACCGCCCGTCGATCGCGTGGAGACAGCGGAACCCCGCCGTGCCGCCGATCGGCTATAATCCTTCACCGCCGTGGCCCGACCATCCAATAATCCAGTTGCTCTTTCATCCTCTTCCATCCCATCCACTTCCACTACATTTCATCCACCATGAGCACTGATCCAGACCCATGGACTAATACCCTCGAACACGACGAAACAAATCCCCTCACAAATACCATTACCCGAAATGATCCCGACGCCGATGCCCTGGATGCAGCACGACCCCGCAAACGGAGAAGGAAATATATCGCGAAGGCTTGGTATCCCCATCCCCCCCCGCTTCCTTGGCTTAGTCCTACTATGTACTGAAAGGTTGCTAATAAGGCTGGACAGTAATGAATGCAAACGCCGCAAAATCAAATGTAACGGGCAGTCGCCGTGTCAGCGATGCGGACGGCAGCGGGTGGAATGTGTGTATGAGAGTCCGCCGCGGAGTGAGGGGGGTGAGAATCAGTATGTTATCCTATCTTCTTCTTCTTCTTCTTCTTCTTCTTCTTTTGTTTTTGTTAGTTAGTTGGTTGTGCTTGAATCGGGTTATGGTTGAATAAAGAGGGGATGTGTTAACGGAACCAGAGAATCCATGGACCGTCTCCTCGGCCAAATGTCCGCCATGCAGGAGCAAATCACCGCTCTGACGTCGGCTGTACATGCCCTAAGTCAGAATAACATTTCCATGTCCTCGGCCCGATCAGAGGCCGTATTCCGCCGCCGATCATCCATGAAAGAGAAAGAAAAGACCAAAGAAGTCGTCTTTCAAGGCCCCACGACATCAGCGTTTAGTTTAGATCTCGCCAAATCGAATCTGCAGCGCCGTGGGATCGTTGAGAATGGCGACCCTGATGCAGGGGAAGATGGCGACTTAACCCGTCCCGCGTCGCCGGTGCCCTCGCGGCACCCCGGAGATCCGTTATGGACGATTAGCAAGACCGAAGCGCTACGGTTGTGTCGCGTGTATGAGGAGGAGATGGGGATCATGTATCCCGTGTTGGATCTGCAGGTGTCGTTGCAGCAGGTGGAGTGGTTGTATGGCGGGGAGGCGTGGCCGCGGGTGCGAGGGGGGGAGGGGGAGGGGGAGGGGCTCGATGGGGACGATGTGCATATTCTGCGTCTGGTGTTTGCGTGTGCGTTGACGGCCGAAGCAGCGGGGAGTAGTGCTCTCGCGATGGGGTTGTTTGAGAGTGTGCGTGAGGTGGCGGATAATTGTGTGTGGGGGGTGGCTGAAATTAAGAATATTATCTTTTTGACGTTGGTGGTGAGTGATATACCTTCAACTGGGAATTGACTAACCAGACAGGCTATCTTCTACTTCCAAATCGACGAGGAAACCCTCGCGTGGCGCACCATCGGCATCGTCGAGCGCATGTGTCTGGAGAAGGGCCTTCATCGACGGGAGACTCTGAATCAGCCGTCCATTGCCAAATTCGGCAAAGATCGTGTCCTGCGTCTGTTCTGGTCCATCTACATTCTTGACATCCGATGGAGCTTCGGCACCGGCATGCCCTTTTCCCTCGAAGACACCGACATCGATCCGTGGCTGCCCGAGCCGGAGGAAAAAACGCCCTATCTACGGGTCATGATCCGGTACAGTCGGATCGCAGCTAAAGTATGGAAGTTCATTTCGGCCTTCAACAACACCAACGAGATCAAAAAAGAGGAAATGAACTATCTCGACTGGCAGGTTCAGCGCTGGACAGCAGATATTCCACCCGTGCTGCGCCTCGATTCGTCACCTGTCGAGCTGCAAGATCAAGCGCCCCGGAGTCTACGTCGATTGCGCGCGCTGTTATACCTCCGGGCGAACCAGCTACGCATGCTCATCCATCGCCCGGTGCTGCACTCGGCGGCGCATATAGCGCGATACCCGGCGGAATCGCAGACGGTGGTGGAGCTAGCGAAGGGTTCGATCCGGTTTATTACGCGGTTGAATGAGACCACGGATATTTACCGTCTGCAGCAGGTCACCTTTAACTGGTTCTTGGTGTCGGCTGTCGCGGTGGTGTTTCTGGCTGTGACGCAGGCCCCGAGTCAATTCAGCACCCAGTGCAAAGAGGAGTTCTATATGGCCTTGGAACTGGTCAAAGGGTTCTCAACCAAGTCATACATCTCACTGCGTCTGTGGAAGTCCATTCGCAGTCTACGCAAACTGGGCCCGCAGCTAATGCATCGCGAGCCAGAGCGAGAGTGGGAATCGCGAGAAATACCCAGGACAGTGGAGATAGCACCCAGCCAGTCCACCGGCACGCAAGAACAGTCACCACTCGACGGAGCACAGATGACGCGCGAGCTCATGGAATGGTTCGAAGCCGTGGGAAACTTAGAAACGCAAATCATGGGCATGGCGCCACAGGGGTTCGACGAGGGATGGCAGCGGTATGATTACGGAGAGGAATTATCAAGTGTAATGAAGGATTGTTTTTAGTGCAGCACACCCAGCTATCACTGCAATACATTAATAATATATATCAGTCAAAAACACCCAACCCCCCCCTTCAACCTCTCCAAATCCTCCACCCGCCAATCAGTCACCAGCATATGTCCCGGCTCATGCGCAAACACCAATCCCTCAATCTTCTCCCCGGCCGCTTCGATCGCCATTTGCGGCGTCACACCACATGCCTACCCATTAGCATACCCCAACACCATATACAGCAAGAGAAGAAGATACGTACCCAAAAAACAGGAACCTCCCCCGGTTCAAAATCCTGCCTCTCCCCGAAATCCGGGTCCTCAATATCCCTGATCCCCAATCTTTTGACAGCATCCCAGCCCCAATCCACCGGCTCGCCATGGGTGGCTAAATACGGGCGTGTGATTTCGCGAACCCGCTCGATGTCTTCTTCCCGGTATGGTCGCATCGAGACGATGCAGGTTCCGTTGGTGAAGATCCCTGCGGGCAGGAGGGGGATGGTGGTGCGGTACATGGCTACGATGGTGGATGTGAGGTGGTGGCGGGGGGTCAGGTTTGCGTCGTGTAGGGCGGATTCGAAGCTGAAGGAGCAGCCGATTAGGAATGCTGTATATTGTTCCCCATCTTTGTTCCCTGCTTCTTCTTCCTGTTGTTGTTGTAGTTGTTTTTGGGGGGTGAATGGGTACGGCCAAACATCTAATAAATCACGTTTGTTGGCTTCCACACATTTCCCATGTTTATAGACCCGATAGCGCGGACAATCTGTCCGGAGATCAAAATCTGGGGACTGAATACATCGGGATGGGGTGATTTGGTGGGGATTTCCGGGGGCGCTGCTGATCCCGAGTAATGGGCAGGCGACGGGGTTACGGAGACAGAGGTTGTGGAAATCCTCGCTGTATTTGTGGGGCAGGATGAGCAGGTTGGCTTGGAGCGTGCCTGGGGAGTAGCCGGCTGTGTTGGTGATGGTGTTTTGGCGGGCCAGGAGGCGGGTTTGTTGGCTGGTTAGGGTTGAGGGGATGGTCATGTTGATTCAAGTATGGTACTTGTGTTGCGACTTGTTTGTTGACGGGGATAGTGAGTAGTTGGTATTGTTATATACGGGGCATCATGGAATCATCTGAATCTGATAGATAACCTATCAGCATACCCCATACTATCGGTTTGTGGGCTCCGATATGCGGGGATGATAGCCAACAGGATGGGGCACCCATGATAAGCGTACCTAGGAGGAGTATGCCGCCAATTAGATCTACTGGCTAGATAGCTAACACGGCTGCTTATCAGCTATCGGCCCGATGCGCACACGGACATCCTCCGGTTGAGCGAGTCGTCAGAGATAGCATGATACCCGTTATCTGTGATGCCTGCATGGCCGTCTGTTTAAACCGAAGCCTGCTCGTTTGAAGCCTGCTCGTTGACAGCCTACTGTCTGTCAATCATGGCTGCGATGGATCTCGAGCGTAAAGTCTCAATTCGCAAGTCTCTCGATCAGAGGACTGCTGAAGAGACGGCTATTGGCGATATCGATGTCGTGCTCGACCCTATCAAAGAGAAGAAGCTTCTCATGAAGCTGGACATGGCCTTTGTGCCGATTATCATGTTGACCTATCTATCATGCTTCCTCGACCGAAGTAACATCGGTATGCCTATATCTCCATCATATTACTATACCTCCACACTAACCGTCCCAGGAAATGTCAAAGTCGCCGGCATGCCGCAAGACATCGGCGCCTCCGACAGCGAATACTCCACCGCCGTCTCCATCTTCTACGCCACCTATGTGCTCCTCGAAGCCCCGTGGGCCGTGGCCATGAAACGTCTCACCCCCCGCAACATTCTCACCGGCCTCTGCATCATCTGGTCCATCACCACCGTCTTCACCGGCTTCATCCACAACGTGGCCTCCCTCTACGCCACCCGATTGATCCTCGGCGGCTGCGAAGCCGGTCTCTTCCCATGCCTCAACCTCTACCTCACCATGGTCTACCGTCGCGAAGAACAAGCCAAACGCGTCTCCTACCTAATGAGCTGCGCCGCGATCTCCGGTGCCGTTGGCGGCCTCCTCGCCTACGGTTTATTACAAATGGACGGCATCGGCGGAAAAGCCGGCTGGAGGTACCTCCCCCCCCTCCCCTCCCCCTATACCCCAATACTAAGAAGAATCAAGATGGGTCTACATAATCGAAGGCCTCTTCAGCCTCATCTGCGCAATCCTCATCTGGTTCGGTCTCCCCAACGACCCGAGCAACGCATACTTCCTCACCGACGATGAAAAAGGCATGATGCGCATCCGCAACGACCAACGCCGGAAATACATGGGCAGTGAGCAGTTCAGCTGGGAGGAGATGCATATCGCGTTGCGGGATCCCAAGTTACTATTCAGCGCTGTTACCCAGTTCTGTCAGGATATTCTCCTCTATGGGTTTAGTACTTTTCTCCCCACCATTCTGGAGAGTCTCGGGTATGATAGTCTTATGAGTAATGTGCTCACGGTGCCGGTGTATATTTGGGCCGCGGCGGTGTTTATTGCTGTTGCGGTGTGGGCGGATCGTGTAGGGAGGTTTTCCATTGTATGTCCCCCCCCCCCCCCCCACTGCCTTCCATTCAGCCCTATTCGGTAGGCTATGTGGTACTCATACTAATGTATTAGTTCATCCTCATCACCAACATCTTCGGCATCCTCGGCTACATCCTCCTCCTCAGCGTCCCCTCCAACCCCATCAAATACTTCGCCACGTACCTCTGCGGCATCGCCGTCTACACCGGCGTCGGCCTCAACGTCGCCTGGCTGAACGTCAACGTGGCGCCGCAATACCGTCGCGCCCTCGCCATCGGTCTCCAACAAACCATTGGCAATTGTGCGGGCATTGTGGCGGGTCAGGTGTATCGTACGTCGCCGTATGTGCTCGGGAATGGGTTTAGTTTGGGGGCGTTGGTGGTCGCGCAGGTGGTCGTGGCGTCGCATGCGGTGTATTTGAGACGGGAGAATGTGGTCAAAGAGGGGGTTTTGGCGGGGGGAGTGGATACGCGCCGTGTGCGGACGGGCGATGGGGAGGTGGAGTTTAGGTATCATATTTAGCTACTACATAGGACTTAAGATCTGTTCTTTTGTTTGCTGGGCTCGTTGGTTACTAATGTATGCTTTTTTTAGTTATTTGGGATGTAATATTTAGAATTGGAGAGTTACTGGTATTGGTATTGTGCTGGTTCTAAGGGGTAGGTTACATCACCGGAAGGGGTATGACGCACGCCATGACATCCATACTTCCTGGTTTATAATTTCACCCTTCAGCCCTATCCATTAGAACATCATAATTAATTTTCTGGCTTACATTCATATACCCAGCCCAGCACACACGAACACACCAATCTATAATTATTCATTGGCGTCACTCTCCACCCAACCATATCCACCACACATCCACTACACATCCACTACACATCCACTACACATCCACTACACATCCACTATACATCCACTACACATCCACTACACATCCACTATACATCCACTTTACAACACACATCTAAATAAAGGAGCAACCATGGGCTCCTGCTTCTCCCTCTCCAGCCGTAACCGTCGCCAATACCCCATGGGCGGTATGGGCGGGGGCTATCCCCCTCCCCGACCACACCACGGCGGTGGCGGGATGCCAATGCAGTCGTTCGGGGGACACGGACATGGACATCATCATGGGGGTGGGTTTGGGGGTGGTCCGGGAGGGTTTGGGGGACATCATGGGGGGCATGGCGGGCATCATGGTGGAGGAGGGTTTGGTGGCGGGAGAGGAGGGTTTGGTGGGGGGCGAGGGGGGAGAGGGGGGTGGTGATTATTCTTTTGGGAAGGGTAGGTAAGTTGGGGGTGTTTGTGGTTGGGATGTGCATGTGCTAATGTGGTGTCGTATAGAAGAGGGTCGTGGTAAGGGATATTGGTTTGGGTGGAGTTGGAGTACTGGATGGATGAAGTGATGATACCAGATGTTTGACAATACGGGGGGTTAGAGATTGGATTCAATATTATGGCTGTGATGGGTTCTAATACGAATATATTTTTGCTTTGTCCTTTGAATTGACACACAACTTGATTTATCTTTTCGCGTTGCAGGCATCCGCAGATGTAAGCTGTGCTTCTATGCTTCCTGCCCATGTGGAGAGCAACTAGTAATACACGTAGCAGATACTGGCTGCATACTATTATTTAGATACATACCTATACCTCTAGAGCTTTCATAAAAGCAGGGCTCTCGTAGCCCTCCACCACCTTGGAGATAGGCAGGAAATGGGCCTCAGAAACATCGTTCTGCAGCTGACGGACATAATGCTGGGCCACCTTGAGCCACAAGCCTTTTTCCCGTTGACTGGCTTCCGAGCCTTGCCAGACCCACAGCCGGCTGCCCACATCGTACAGGAAGATATCGTTGGCAACCAAATCAGACTGGGTGACCCGCTGACCATCCTTGACCAGATCAAAAGTCAGTGTGCCAGACGCATCACTCAGTCTAAAGAGCTTGCGGCGATCATCCGTGTGCTTGGAAAAGCGTCCCGGTCGGGGGGCCTGGAATGTGGTCGCGTCCGCCTCCTTACCGCCCAGCAGGTCCACAATCACCCGGGACCGCGACTCGAGTTGCGACAGCACCTCGACATCAATATGCTTGGCCAGGGTCATGTCGTTGACCACCTGAGCAGCCTTGGCCTTTTCCATCGGGCTGCAGTTCTTGCCCTGCCAGACCCAGATCTTGTCGCCTTTGTCTAGAACGAACACGTCGTTCTCGTCCAGACTCTGCCATGTGGGTTCGACCTCATGCACGATGATCGATCGGGGCACACTGGGGTGCTTGAACACGCGAAGCAAGGTCAACACCTCCTTGGGTGCCTCAGGCTCGACGTGGGTGAAGCCGGACCGCACGCCGCCCGACCGGATGGCGATATGACGGAACAGCCCAAGGAATTCCTCCGAGGGCTCCTGCTGGATTTCACGGTGCTGCGTTGCAGTGCCATGCAGGAATTCATCCAGCTCGACGGTCTTATAGGCAGCCGTGCCAGCCTCATCCTGGGTGGTCTTGCTGCCCAGCCAGAAGAAGATGTCATGACCGAGTTTATCCCCCACTTTATACGAGTGCAGCACGATGTAACTGTCTCCGTCGTAGAACTCGCCGGTTCGTTCCTTGGGCCAGGCGACGACCTCGAAATCCTCAATTCGCCAGACGTAGAGACCCGGCTCCTGGCCGATCTGTCCGTTGTTCCAGGCCGGCTCGGTGGCAGCGGAGTTGTACTTGACGCGGTGGTCGAGGTCGGATCCGATCAATTCGACATTGCTGTCTTTGATGTCATATTCTTTGAGATGGACGAGTCCTTCGTGGGGTGCCATATTTGCAGTAGTGAGATGATGATGCAGATGTTGAGCAGAGCTCAGCTGCGGGGGCGGCAGAACGGTGAGGGGCAGGCGGTGAGCTCAGCTAGACATGTGATCGGCGCCGCTTTATACAGGTAAACCGAACTGATCCCTGCCTCCTGAGTAAACAACAAATAGTGACTCATTGATTGATATAACTGGGTGTTGACTAGTTCCTCAATACACCATCTCTCATCAGAAATATAATGCTGCTGCTCACGAAAATGGGACACCACCTGGGGAGAGCATCGATCGTGGCGCTGTGGATTCCACGTTTTGCATGGCTGAGATGGCCCAACAAATCCCTCACCAGTGCATTCGTGTCGGCAATCGCACACTGCCGATGATGACCTTGCCTGGAGCTGTTCAGAAATTCGGATCTGGTGCACCTGCTCCACATTGTTTGCTGCTGCGAGGGACGTCAACACCGGTCTGAGCACAATCAACAGCACACAATCAGTTACAATGTAACCTGATATCACTACACATTCAGACAGCACAAGTATAGATCAATCTGACAGCTCCATAAACTTTTTGATCTCTCTTCCAGCCATCCACAGCAACAGTATGACGCACATAAACCTCCGGAGAAGCACCTGGAGAGCACCTGGAGAAACACCTGGAGAAGCACCCGGAGTACAGGATCGGCTGATGCACGAGAATTCCAGCACTGCACTGGAAAGGAATCTTCCGTGTAGATCGCTCGTCAGTTGTGTCCCTTGCATTCCACTGCTATGCGGCAGTATAGAAGTCAGCCAGATTGCCGAGCTGGAATGCTGATAGCATTCTCCCAACACCACCTCAACAGCTTCACTGCTTCATGGAGACTACAATATCCTTGACTAAATCCACGAGAATTCGAAATAAGTGCTCAGTCTATCAGAACCTTCATCACCTCGTATCTTCCTAGCAAGCGGCCCTGAACTTACTGCGGTCATCACTGCACATATCTCCGGCATACCCCTTGATCGGTATGGATTCTCTCCACCGTATGGACGAGTATACGCAAAGCCCGGCGATGATCTTCTACAGATTCAGCCCTGACGCGGCTGCTACGTGACCTGTCCAAGCCAGTAGTTACGAAGATACACTGCAGGGGTCGATATATCTATACAGCCATGTGCTTCAACTGCCCCAGCCATAATTTTAAACACGTACCAGCACGTATCGAAGATGAAATCAGCTATCGTGGAAACGGCAGGAATGGATGAGTACCTGCTCAAGAATCATCTGGAGTTCACCGACGACGGACAGTTCGTCCGATGGGGAAGAGGCAACAAGAACCATCCGCGCAATTGGAGCACCACGCGGAAGGTGTTTGACATTGGCCTCATTTTTCTGCTGGATCTCTTCGTGTATGTGCTCACACCTCGTCCTGAACCGTGCTAACTTGCAAAGAACTGCTACGAGTACAGCTGGGGTATGTCCTCGTTCTACATATCGACATCTCTAACCCTCCCAGGCATCGGCTGCTTCTGAAGCCCGACATGAATATCACATCGGGACAACCTTGTCCACATTCTGCTTCGTCACTCTGTATGTCTCCCACACATCTGCTGATCCCGCTAACCGTTCAGGTTCCTCATCGGACAGGTCGTCGGCGCCATCATCTTCCCTCCCTGGTCTGAATCCTTCGGCCGTAAAAGGCTCTACATCATCAGCAGCACCGGCAGCAGCTTGTGCTGTCTGATCATCGGCGTCGTCCATTCCCTAACCGCCGTCATCATCTGCCGCATCCTCGGGGGCTTCTTCAGTGCCATTCCCTACACCGTGGGCAGCGGCAGCAACGAGGACATGTTTGATACTCGCGCACGCATCTGGACCATCTTCCTCTGGACCATCGCCTCCAACGTCGGCCTCCTCATCGGGCCCATCACCAGCACCGTCATCATCCAAAGCCTCCACTGGTACCCCTCCCGCCCCTTCAGTATCATCCCTACTAACCCACCAGGCGCTGGGTCTTCTACATCTACACCATCATCCTCTCGATCCTCAGCCTCCTCTTCCTCCTGATCCGCGAATCCCGCCCCGCCCTCCTCCTCGCCAATGAAGTCTCCCGCATCCGACACGAAACCGGGCACGACACCCTCCAACCCTTGAATCACGACCACTCCCCAGACATCCAGACCTTCATCAAAGCCTCCCTCTTCCGCCCATTACAACTCTTCTTCGGCGAACTCCTCATCTTCACCATTGCCATCATGATCGCCTTCTCCTTCGCCCTCGTCTACATCTTCACCGAAGCCCTCCAACCCATCTACGAATCCATGGGCTTCTCCCCTACTTCCGCCTGCCTCCCGTTCCTCGCCCTCGGCGTCGGCGTCGTCATCAGCACCCTCACCCGCTTCCTCGACTTCCACATCCTCGACGCCCGTCGCGCCGCATCCCAACCCATCAAACCGGAAGATAAACTCATCGGTCTGGCCATCGGAGCCCCGGTCTTCGCCATCGGACTCTGGTGGTTCGCGTGGACGATTCCCCCGCACGCGGAACACATCCACTGGATCATTCCCACCATCTCGCTCGCACTCATCGGCTACGCCCTAAACGAATTTGACACCGTCCTCTACGGATACCTCTCCGATAGTTATTTAAGTTATGCAGCGAGTGGCACCGCCTCGGTACAGTTACTTCGTGCTCTCCTATCCGGTGCGTTCCCGTTGTTTACGAGACAGATGTTCGATGGGCTGGGGAATAATGTTGCGGCGTCGTTGCTGGCGGCTCTAGCGACGGCGTTTTGTGCCGTGCCGTTGTTGTTTTTGTTTTATGGCGAGAGAATTAGGGCGAAGAGTCGGTTTGCGCGGTATAGTTTGGAGATTCAGGATGAGGTAGGGAAGGAGGGTAGTTAGGTGATTATGGAGCTGAGGGTTTGGAAGGGGGTGTATGATATGGGATTGGTGTATGGTGTTATGATTCATCATGGAGTTTGTAGTAGTTTTGCTATGAGGTTCGGGTTTGAGAAAAAAAAAAAAAGTATGTGGGAGCTGGGATCAAGTTGATTGTTCCAACGGAATGGAGTTGATTGAGATCATCGGGCATACGATGGCTTTGAGCACGTATTGATAAGATGAACAATTTGAAATCTTCGTCAACTAGATTCATGACTTGGACAGAAAACACCGAGATAATACACAAAGCAAATGAACAGACTTATTCCATGACACGAACTCTCCTGTCTAACATCTACCTGGCTTGTCCAGCTGCCATTGACAGATAATCAACATAGACAGCCCTCCCCGTGCCCTTCACAAAAATGGTCAAGTTGATATATCACCACTCAGGCTCCATCATGCCACTTTGCTCCAACGCCGGAATTTACATTCAGCAGCTTCTCGATACCATCATCCTTCATACGCACGTTGTACGCACCCTCGGACAGTTCAGAACCGGTACTGGGTTTAACCTAGTACGAAGCAGATATATCACATATTCACAGGCAATCAGACTCAAGTTCACATATTCCACTCATCATCAACCCATACACTCAACCAACACACCACCATGCATCCTCCCACCTAAGCACACACCTTACAATCCCAACGCCTTCAAAATCGCCTTTCCAACCCCCGTCGCACTCGCCGGATTCTGCCCCGTCACAACCACCCCCCCGAGCTCGTGCACGCTCGAAACCACCACCTTCTCGGCCCACGGCTCCGCCCGCACATACCTCGCGCCCACGCGCTTGAGCTCATCCTCCAACATGAACGGCATGATGGAGCTCAGCTGCACCTGGTCTTCCTCGACGTTAGAGAAAGCGGTGACTTCGGCACCGGCGAGCAGAGGCGTGCCGGAGGGGGTGGTGGCGTTGACGAGGACCGCGGGGCCGTGGCAGACGGCGGCGACGGGCTTTTTGGCCACAGCGAAGGATTGGATTAGGGAGAGGGAGGTCTGGTCGCTGTAGAGGTCGTACATTGCTACAGAGTAGTTCTGTTAGTTGGTGGGTGGGATGGGAGGGGGATGG